CTGGTAGGGAGGTGGCTGACTTTGAAAAGTGACAGTTATGCGAGGTGAGGGACATCAATTTCACTTTAATATATAATATATAATATAATTATCAATCAATATATATATATATATATATATATATTGAAGTGAGACAGACGTTCTTAACTCGCATTTTAAGTAATCATAACTGCAATTCGTTTTGTGATTGCTTATTGACATTTGGTAGTCCATTCCCAATGATTGGTATAATCAAAGTTGTAAATAATAATATAATAAAAGACATACACGCGTGAAGTTAGCCCCTCCTTTTGCAAATTTTCATACAGCGTAAATATAACTATGACTCTCACAGCCGCCTTCGCCTCAATCTCTCTCTCTCTTTCTCTCTGATATGTAAAGAGCTTATTAAATAAAATCAAAACTCTTTTCAATTATACTGTCAAACAAAAAATGATTTATTTCATGTAATAATGAGAGTAATTGTTTGTTGTAGTTTTTTAGTGCTGAATATAACAGTATACAATTTATCAAATTGCTTAATCTTGTCAATTTTGAGAAATATACGATTATAATTGCAAAATCATTTTAGTTTCGAGCAATGTTATTATTATTAATATTTTAAATATTATTAAAAGAAAAATTACCTTTAAATTTGGCATACGTTTAGCAATATTCAAAATAATATCGGTAGAATTTACATTTATTGTTGTAGAAACTTTGATTTTTTCTTTGAAGCGTACATTCGCTGCCACATGAAAAATTATTGATATCTGTAATTAATTTGGTGTTATAGAATAATATTTTAAATGTATAAAGAAGAAATGAAAGAATTGAATTATTTCTGTGACTATTTCAATGACAGTTATAAATTTATATCAAATATGTGTAACATATTATAAATACATATAATAATATATAATTTGGGTTTCTTACCTTACGTATCAATATATCCTTGTCATTTTCCGACAGTCCTAAGTCTTCGATTTCAAGATCGCCCATGATTGGTACAATTTTTTTGCGAAAATTGGATACTTCCACTCTCACTCGATCATAAAGCTACAAAGTACATAATTTTGTAGCAAAGATGCACATTATGTTAGTATGTACAGAACTCATTGACAAAAATCAATAATCTTTTTCAATTGTACCGTCCAACAAAAAATAATTTTTTTCTTGTACAAGAATGAGAGTAACCATTTCCTTTAGATGCTACAGTTTTATTTATCAAATTATGTTATTTCAACGTCTTTTGAATACTCACTATACTGTTAAACATTTCGTTCAGTCGACTTTCGGGACTTTTATCTTTCTTCGAACGTATCAGTAAATATATTGCTTCAATGTCGGAGCAGCTCCGTAGCAGTTTTTCAATTAAAATCTTTCCGAGAAATCCGGTGCCCCCTACGAAATAAAATAGTAAAATAAAATTATATGCAAAGATAAAGGGTAAGCGTAGCGATAACTTAAAAATCATAAACAATTGACTGAGAGAGTTTCACAGATCTCAGCAAAATATTTTATATTTCTGATATTTATGATCTGTTCAAATACCACAGTTCTTTTTAAAATGGATGAATCACAAGCAATTTAATTGTGGGATATAGGAGTTATATTTTGTGTTGTGCAGAAGTGTTAAAACACTCGAAATCTTTTAAAAAACCTTTTCTCTCTTCTAGATCGTGAAATGCGCATTATAATAAATTTCGAGAGATTATTTTAAGATAAATTTGATTATAAATGCCTCATAAAAACTCTTAAATATTCATTTTTCTACTACAAACTGTAAACGTTTTTTAAATTCTCCACAAAGTTCTATTCATTTATCTGTTATCTAAATAATTATAAGACATGGTCACTAATAATTATATAATCAATAGATAATATAAATAAAGATTAGTATTTCAATTTTTACAAAATATTGATATCATTAAGGTGTTCATTGTTAGTAATGCATTTGCACTTAATTTATAGCTAATATTGGTTTAATTCGGAAAACATTGGCCGAATATATTCTTAATGTCATATAACTAATGTTTAAGTAATGTACTGCTAATGAATTATGTTACTAGAAATTTCATATAATTGATATTAATAGATAATGAGTAGGGTTGGGAAATAATGCGTAACTTGTAACGCCGTTGCCATTTTCTTTTTACACATACGCACACACATACACAAATTTTTGAAAATTATTTCTTATTGCATTAAAATTATTGTTTTTTAAATTACATTATAGCATATATATTTACAAAGTAATTTTACGTGCAATAAAATTTTATACACATTTTCTATATTAAATGTATATTTTATAATAAATGGCATTTGCATAATAAAATATAAATATCTGTAATAAAGACTAACTGTCCGGCGTAAAATTTTGTATTGAAGTATTACGTGTGTCAATTTCCATGTTTTGTTTACTACTCATAATATGTGACATTAACACGGACATTAAGAAATAAATATTATTTAGCGAATGTCCAACTTCTCACTTGCTTGATTTGATGTAATATCAAAGATTAAAAAAAACAACCAAAGACATCAAAGACTGAAAAAAACCGAACTAATGACATTGCCGCTATCGTGACAAATAGAAAAATGTAATGATAGAAAAAAGTAATGAAAACGGCAACGGCGTTACAAGTTACGCATTATTTCCCAACCCTACTCATTATCTATTAATATCAATCCTGATCGCTTTATGAGCAAGTAACATTATGAATTAAATAAAATTTTTTACACATACTCATATAACTCTAGTGAATTCTAATAAAAACCCTAATAATTCGTGCAAAAGTTTATTAGAGTAAATTCATTGTCCACTTGTTAAAAGTTATTTATCTATACTGCAAAAGTATGATTATTACGTTTCATAAGTCTTGGTTCATGGAGTATGCTATCAGTACTATTGCGTTCTATCCTTGTTATTGTCTTTGTAATTAACTTTTATTTTTATCTTCAGACGTCTAAAAATAAACTATCATAATAGCACTAATAGCATGCTCCTTGAACGTAACTTATATAAGCATTGATGTCGACTTGGAAAAAATATTGGGGGGCAAAGCGAAAACATTTCAAATGATGACCATTTTTTAATAATACTTAAATTACTGGAGAGGTGAGAGTATCACCTGGCCTCTTGGCAGTTGTTTTGATCGTAAAAATTATTTGCAATTAAGGTGATTTTAAGATGGTTTTATCGCGCAAGTCCCAGTCAAAGGTGAGTCCCTCCATATGACTAATAATTCAATAAAGACATTTTGTAAGCGTAATTCAATAAAAACATTTCACATGATGACTTTTTAAATAGTACTTAAATTACCGGAGGAGATCGCCTGGCCGCCTGACCTAGACTGTACGTACGCGATTATGTGATGTCACACTATCGAGTTGGCGTTGAGCCATTAAACCACCTTAAAAAATCTTTTGTTAAAAAACGAAAAAGTAAAAATTATTGGGGGAGGCGAAAAGTGGGAGCTCTGCCCCTTTAAGTTGGCGCCTATATGTATACAAGTAATTCAAATTATTTGTTGTATTATTTTTTGCAATTTCAGTTGTTCACAAGGTGTATTCACGAGTACACACACACACACACACACACAATTTGTTGTAAAATTTTAATCAATTTTTTCAATTATAATTTTTATCGTTTCTTTTTATCCAGTATTATACAGCTCAATTTTCTTAAGAAACATGTTAGATATAACATCCAATTTATAAAAGTCTGCAAATTTAAGTACACTTTTAGTATAAATTTAAATTTAATCTCTAAACTTTATTTTTATATTAACAAAGAATGTGAAAATAAAGAATTTAAAAAATATTAATATCTTTTATCCACTACTGAATAGAATACATAGAAAAATATTTTGCACATAAACTATCCCAGACATCATAAAAAATTAAAGATTGTAGTAATATTTCGTAAAAATTTACAATATTGCAAATATGATACATCTATTTACAATCCTACAACTTTTATTTTTTTAAAATGTTTTCAAAAACTGCTTTATTTTCCAGATGTTTAACCATTCTAGAAAATATCTAATCAACAATTAAATATTTAAAATTACATTTATTTGCAAGACTAATAATAGTGATTTATTTGCAAGATTAATAATAGTGATAAATATGTAATAATCTAATAATTAAAATGTCTTAATTAATTAGAAATTATATTATAAATATTGTATTTTACATAATTAAATACCTGTAATAAACACTGATTGTCCAGCATAAAAACTTTGTATTGGTGTCCTGAGCGCTCCAGTTTCCATGTTGTATTCACTATCCGTAATATTTCTGAAGTTAACACAAAAACTAATAAATAAATACTGCTTATCGATAATCTTAATTTCTTTGATCTACTCGATTTGACGCTTTTTCTCAAATTGAGTGTCATAAAGGAAATCTTGTTTTGTATAATAGGCTGTATTACATGTATGATATCCTACTACATGCTCAAAGAAATTTACCTACTCTGCCTTCTTTAATTAAGTGAAGAAGAATAAATTTCAATCTTTTTTCCTAATCTTTTAGATGTTAGACTTAATAATAATGTTTGATGATTCAAAAGTTTTCATTTTACATATTTAGAGAGACTAGTACAATTTAGGCGTATAAAAAAAGATATGTACAGATTCAAAATGGTTAATGAGCAAACTCAGAACTTTTAAATTGTAGTGTATATACATATATGTTAACTCGCCGGCTCGCGTATAGATGCACGGGACAATCTTGTGAGCGCGTAGATACTCGGCGCGAATACAATATCGTGTGAATAAATGCCATTATATACTGGTATAGCCCCTCTTCTTCTTATACTTAATTGTTTTGAAAATAACAATTTTTTTAACTTATGTTGGCAGCACTGAGTATAAAATAATTGATTACACAATTCAACAAAAAATTATTTTTCATAGAATATCAGCACAAGAGTAGAATTTCCCATAGTTTTTTATGCTAGGCGCAAATACAATACCGTGTGAATATAAACAATTATATACTGGTATAGCACCTCTTCTTCTTATTTAGATTACAAGGATGTCAGGAAGATTGATTAAAAGGATGAACTAATAATAGAGAGGAAAAGATGGCCTTTATAGAGGAAGATAACATAAATGTAAACATAAATACTTGAAAAATATGTGGAAAAGCGCGACAGTTTGTTATACTTCTCAACACTCAGAATAATCAAATACATAGCTTAATTGTTTTGAAAGTAATAAGATTAATTTTTTAAATTTATGTTGGCAGCACTGAGTATAAAATAACTGATTACACAATTCAACAAAAAATTATTTTTCTTGGAATATCAGCACAAGAATAGAATTTCCCATAGTTTAGATAAGGCGCGAATACAATACCATGTGAATATATATAACTATATACTGGTGTAGCACCTAAGACAATCCTCACTTTTGAAGTAATTGTCGCATTCACTCTAATAATATTAGTGGCAAAATCACTCTATGAGATTTAGAGAGTAGATCATAAATATTAGAGATACTTACTAATGTCACGTGAAATTGTTATGTGACATTTAAAAAAATAAAAACTTATGTTTATTGTTTATTTGGGAAAACAAACTGATATAATAAAACATTTTTTATTAGGAATTTTAACAGTTATAAGTCGTGGACGTTACTATCTACTTATACATATATTAGTCAAAGTGTGTCATATAATGTACGCGTGACTAGGTACTTTTCCGAGTGTGTATGCGAGCGGAATCAGACAAAAAACTGCCGTAAAACATTATGTTAAACCTTGACATGTATATTTGTGTAATTATAATAGAGCACACCAAACGTACTGTTTGGTCCTAAACTCGATTAACGCGCCTCTGATATCTATGTCGTGTCAGTGCTACGGCACTTCTGTCATCGGTAAGATTACCATCGGACATATCGAGATTTATTATCAATACGCGCCTAATCGCGGCGTTCTTGTACGCACTTCCGATTGTAGTCTCGACGGGGCGTGTCGCTCTTGACCCGACTTCCGTCTAGTGCCTCATGGCGAATACATGTTTTATTAACGGTGCTGAATAAATTCACGAAAGATCAAAGGTGTTTAAGATTACTTTCTATCCGATATTATAAAGTCGCTGAATACAGTCGCAACACGTACAGAAGAGTTAAAGGAAGTCACGATACCCGAGTTAGCAACTAATTGTAAAAAGGAAACAAAGTAAATACTCAGTGTAGTATCACAAAGTGATACACTCATATATATATATATATATATATATATATATATATCTTATGCAAAAATAAAATAGAGGAAAAGATAGCTGAGTATATATATTCATATAATCTAATAAAATATTATAGCAGTATAAGAGAATACATATATATAATTTGTTATTGTTTTTTGAGATTACAACTTTTTTCTATTTTACATTATTTATTTTAAATTATTTTATTTCATTATTTTATTTAGAATCTTGTCTTTACTCTGTCCCGCCCCTTCTCTCTCTTTCTCTCTCTCTTTCTCTCTCTCTC